TTGTATACTGAAAACAACAAAATCTCTTATTAAAGTGGAATAATTTGCCTAAATTCAGAAATTTACAAGGATTGTTTCAAAGTATGAATAAAGAAAGAATTAACAAATGGGAAAGAGAAATTAGAAGGTTCTAAGTATGGGTTTAATAGAAGGAAAAGTTGTTTCTGGATAAGGGACTCTATGTGATTAAGTAAATAAGAGGGTTTAAAGAAGGTGTGTAAGTTGGATATATGTGAGTTTTGAGCAAGTAATCTTGAAGAAATTAAAGATTAAACAACTATGGTTAACAACTGTTATTTTGCAATATTGTAATGTTATTTAAGAGCTAAACTTGATCAATGTAATTGTGGTACTATTACTCTTCTTTATATATTAAATGTGTTCATATTTTCCAGGTATATAAGTAATTTAGAAGCTTTAAAAAAAAACACATCAACCTGGTGTTCTCCAAACTAAAGTTGCATGGTAATTTTAGGCTTATAACATTGGAGATTTATTTATATCATCTAATGTTCTATAACTGGACCTGTTAYCAATAATATTCTATACACTGGGGTATAATTTAAATGTAATATCATATTGYGTTAGCTAGTATTCATGTGACCTCAAACAACAATATGTAAACTTTATAAAATATTTAAAAACAAAGATCAGCTTCAATACTAGAACACTACCTAAGATTTATTAAGAGGCCCACCTGAGATAAGGCTGTGCCTCCCATCTTACTACATATCAGAATGACTCCAAAGTAGGCCAGACTTCAGCTAAAGCACAGTACTCTTAAGACTGGTGAGACTGACTTGTTAGATGTTTAATATCTAGACTTAAAAGGGCCAAGAAAACCAATATTTGGCTCTTGCCCTCTGAGTCAGTCTGAATCCAGGGAACAGGGACTTCTCTAAAGAGCTTTGCAACTCTGGGCCACATAACCTCCTGATCAGGGAGATTAATGAGACCACTGGAGAATGAAAAGCCAAAAAGCGCACTTGCTGTGAATAGGAGGGTCATTGGAAAAAGGAGACATCCCTGATGCTTCCAAGGGAAGCCACATGAAGCAAGGCTGGACCCCATCCTAGTGCAAATGGCACTAGCAGAACTAAGGTGCTCTTGAATGACCCCTAAAAATAGATAGAAACAAAGTCAATTTTGACCAGCTTGATCTTTAACACCTACCAAACCAGTCATTCCTGGAGGTAATGAAGGACAAGAACAGCTAGAAAGAGGAGACAGCAATTACGCCAACAGTCTCCATGGGGAATGTTTAGTCAAGTATGACCCTATTAGTCCTGTATCTGTTAGATTACAGAAGTTCCTGCAAGATCAGATTCACCAACCAGTCAGTCAGTCAACTACTTCTAGACTACCAGTTCCTGATGCCCAAGATGGAGACCTATGACTCATGACCAACTTCTCCGGCTCCCAATACTCTGTCCCCATCTAAAACCCTCTCTAACCCCTTTTCCAGATTTTACAACCCCTCTTTCATTTCCTAGGAATGAGAACTACTCTCCAGCAGGTCTGCTCTGCTCGTTCTGTCTGCTCTACTGTATCCCCACAAGAAAGCATCAAACCTAAACTCCCCATGCATCAGATGAGGAGCCACCAGCCAGGCGAAGATTGATTGGATAGAAGCCTTCCCTACATCCAGGGAAATTGCTGACACGGTCACCTCCATCCTCAATGAGCAGATCATTCCCAGGTTCAGACTTCCCGCCTCTACTTCTCGGGTTGTTCAACTGGTCTCCAAAGGTTTAACATCACTTGGAGGCTCCACATCCCCCACTGACCCCAATCATCGGGTAAAGTTGAGAATAGGCCTAATGGCATTCTCAAGGATCATCTCACTAAACTTGCTATGGAACTCAGGCTGTCCTGGCCCAATCTCCTCCCGTTGTCCCTCACCTGAATTCAGGCAGCCCCAAGAGCCCCCTCAGGCCTTAGCCCCTTTGAGCAACTCTATGGGTGCCCTTTCTTAGCCAACCAAAGCTTTCCAATCACTCCTCCTCCCCTTGTGTCCTACCTCACACTTCTACACAAATTCCTAAGAGAACATGCAGAGAGGTGCCTTCCTGCACCATCCATTGCCTCAATCCCAGCACAACAAGGAACTGAATCGGACCCTCTTCAACTGGGTGATGCAGTCTAACTTTAGGAGCTGCATTCTCAATCACTAGAACCTCACTGGGCGGGACCCCATACAGTCATACTTACTACCCCAGTGGTGACCAAGCTTTTAGACACTCTCCCTGGTACCATGTCTCCCGCCTTAAAAAGCCATCTGTTCCAAATGTTCAGTCCTGGACTTCCACCAAAATTTCTTGCACTAATCATTTTTTTTTGGTTGTTCACAACATTACAAAGCTCTTGACATATCATATTTCATACATTAGATTCAAGTGGGTTATGAACTCCCATTTTTACCCCATATACAGATTGCAGAATCACATCGGTTACACATCCACATTTTTACATAAGGCCATATTAGTAACTGTTGTATTCTGCTACCTTTCCTATCCTCTACTATCCCCCCTCCCCTCCCATCTTTTCTCTCTACTCCATCTACTGTAATTCATTTCTCTCCTTGTTTTTTTCCCATTCCCCTCACAACCTCTTATATGTAATTTTGTATAACAATGAGGGTCTCCTTTCATTTTCATGCAATTTCCCTTTTCTCTCCCTTTCCCTCCTGCTCTTCCTCCCTGCTCTGTTCTTAGTTGSTCTCATTATCAAAGAAGACATTTGGCATTTGTTTTTTTAGGGATTGGCTAGCTTCACTTAGCATAATCTGCTCTAATTCCATCCATTTCCCTGCAAATTCCATGATTTTGTCATTTTTTAGTGCTGCGTAATACTCCATTGTGTAAGAGTGGTAAATAGGGAGCCTACATCATGGGAACAAATTTTTATTCCCCATACTTCAGATAGAGCCCTAATATCCAGAGTATACAAAGAACTCAAAAAATTAAGAAAACAAATAACCCAATCAACAAATGGGCCAAGGACCTGAACAGACACTTCTCAGAGGAGGATATACAATCAATCAACAAGTACATGAAAAAATGCTCACCATCTCTAACAATCAGAGAAATGCAAATCAAAACCACCCTAAGATACCATCTCACTCCAGTAAGATTGGCAGCCATTATGAAGTCAAACAACAACAAGTGCTGGCGAGGATGTGGAGAAAAGGGTACACTTGTTCATTGCTGTTGGGACTGCAAATTGGTGCGGCCAATTTGGAAAGCAGTATGGAGATTCCTGGGAATGGAACCGCCATTTGACCCAGCTATTGCCCTTCTCGGACTATTCCCTGAAGGCCTTAAAAGAGTGTACTACAGGGATACTGCCACATCGATGTTCATAGCAGCACAATAGCTAGACTGTGGAACCAACCCAGATGCCCTTCAATAGATGAATGGACTAATCATTATTCTTATCTCAAACCACAGATGGCGCTTCTACATCCAAGCAATATGGTACCACCCACTCTCAGTTTATGGGTCAAGGTGATTGCCCTTCCGCTGGCTGTAATCCTTAACATTACTGGATTCAACCAAGCCGACGCCAATCCTTCCTAGAGTCCCTACCACAGGACCAACGGCTGATATCAAAGATCTCCTCTGCTCAGAAATGGTTTGATGCCATTGACAACCTATGGCTTCAAGGAAACTTTATGGACTTTGCCCCTGGATGTTATTTCTGGCTGCCCTGGACATTCCCATATCGCCCCCACATCCCTTAGAAAAACAAAAAGGGAGGAATGTTAGCTGCAGGATAACCCATCCACTCAAACACCCCAGTCTGGTCCTTTATCACCTGTTTCCCTCAAGGCTGAACACTTGACCCACACCCATCTGCTGCAACAGAAACCCACATCTGACCCCTGCTCCTCAAGGCAGAAGATGACACTACTGTCTGATCCAATCAGATTTTGGCTATAAAAACTCCCTCTTGCCCTCCCTCTCTTTTGCAGTGCTGCAATAAAGAGATTGTGGTCACTTTCCTTTCACTCATGTGTCCCCTCCCTTCCACAACCAAAACGTTCTTTTGAMCATACTGAGCAGTGATTAACTTTTTTCTGCAATTAGATAGTGGTGAGGGTTCAACAGCTTTATTATGTGTCAAGGAAAAAAATCAAATCCAAGATATCTTAAAATAAGATCAGTTGATCTCTGCTTTCACTGTAGCCTTACCTGGAATTAGCTTCTTTAGATCTTCTCTGCCTCAAAGTCTGGTCTTTTTCAGCAAAACCCTTCGTCAGTATTTCCACACCATCTACCAGGGCTTAAGCTAAAACCAAAACCCTCTACATAGTGTTCTTGATTCCTCTTCCCTCCCTATTCAAGAAGTAGGATGGCAGGGTGAGAAGTATGCCTATCTACTGTCACCATTATATCCTGTCCTTTAGTCTACACTGTGATAAATACAGTATTCTTTCTTGGGTAAAAACCTTTATGGTTCTCCATTGTACCCATCCCAAAGACAAAACAAGGCAACCTACATTATCAGAGACTACCTGGGGGAGCCCTAACCTCCTCCTTCAGGCTCATTTTTCTGATAGTGTGTTCACCTTTCAAGGTGAACAGGCTTTTGTCCGTAAGACTTAGGGTAGGGTCACTTTTTCACCTTTCTTACCTGGCTAGCGCCCCCCCTCCTGCCACCATTATGTGCTCCTAGGGACCCAGCACCATCCTTTGCATAAGTGCACACTCATTTCCTCGTTCACCACCCAGCTTTACCAGATGGTTACCCATGAGAGCAGGGTCAGGCTGGTTTTGATCACTTTATCTCTACATCCATTCTGTTAAGTTTTCAGTCTATATGGATTAATTCTAGCCTGTGTGCACTCTTATTTAAATCCTGTGGCTCCTACAGCCTGTAGCATTTTACCAAAACATGTCACTATGTACTGCCTTTTATTCTTCCGCATTGCAAACCTTTCCAAAGGCTGACTTCAGAGGGACTGCTCTAAGGATCTATGCCTGGGTGATGTTCTGTACCTGGTAAGTCTCGATGGGGCGGTTTTCCATGTTGAGATCCCAGACTTTCACAGTCAGATAGTCCCTGGTCATGATATACCTCCCACTGTGGCTGAACTTGACGTCCGAAATTGAAGAGATAATTTCAGAGAAAAACGATCTGTTGCTTGGATCCTCTGGCTCTTCAAAAACTGCAAAAACAAAGCAAACACAATGAATTCAGCATCCTTATCACTGAACTCTAAAGCATCTGGCCAACCAGAAAGTTACCAGTTAAGAGTCTAGGACTGGTGTCTGCAGAGCACAAGTAAGTTGCTAACAGGGAGCTGGCAGCTCCTTGGCTGCAGAAAAAGCTGTGGCTGGTTTGTTTTCTCTTGGAAGGATTGGCATGGGACCCGACTCCTGCACAGACCTGGCACTGACTGTTCTCAAGCTCCAGTATCTCACTCTTTCCCATTTGGTCTCTGGGGGTCACTGCACATACCCAAACCTGGAATCATCTTAGATGCTTAAACATTTGTTAACAGCTTTACTGAGATGAAATTCATATACCATAAAATAAATGCATTTAAAATATACAGTGAGGTTTTTTTTTGGTTGTTGTTGTTGATTTGAGATGGGGTCTTGCTAGGTTGTCCAGGCAGGACTCAAAGATCCTCCTRAGAGGCTGGGGTTACAGGTGTGTACCACCATGCCTGGCTAATCCAGGGGGTGTTAGAATCATTATATATTAATGTAACCATCACCACAGTCTGAATTTAGAAAGTCTTCATCACCCCTGATGCCCCCCAGTTATCCTCCATCTCCATTACCAGTTACTCCACATTTCCCATTCATTCAGCCCTTAGGCAAACACGAACTTACTTTCTAGTTATTACTCTGAAAATTCCACATACATTGGATCACAGAATATGTGGTCATTTGTGCCTGGCTTTTTTCACTCCTTGTAATATTTTCATGTCATAGCATATATCTGTACTTTATTCTTTTTTTTTTTTTTAGTATTGTTTTGGTTGTAGTTGGACACAAAACCTTTATTCCATTCATTTAGTTTTATGTGGTGCTGAGGATTGAACCCAGTGCCCTGCRTGTGCTAGGTGAGCACTCTATTGCTGAGCCATAATCCCAGCCCCTGTACTTCATTCTTTATATGGCTAGGTTGTATTCCATTGCTTGATTCTACCATATTTTATTTATTCATTCATCAGTTGATAAACATTTGGGTTGTTTCCACTTTTTAGCTGTTCTGAATAATGATGTATGCAGAATGCTTGTGGACATATTTTTATTTGGACATATTTTAATAGCGGGGCTTTGCTGCCTGATTGCCTTGGGCCAAGGTCAGATTGCCATTTACTTGTGTGACCTTGGGCCAGGTCCTTCTCTGAGTATACTTCTATGTAAACTGTGGCTACGCTATCTTCTGTGTGATTTCCAGGATCTTGCTTTTCTTACTAGCTTTCTACTTACAGGAWAACGAGTGTGGCTCTATCATGGTGTGGAAGCCTCTCCTAAACTGTACCTGTCTTTTTTTTTTTTTTTTTAACAACTTGGATTGAGACTCGCTGTACAGAATGTATCTTGACATTTCTATGCATTGCCTGATTATTTCATTGATCCAAGTTCTACTTGATTTATACACCTAGTCTACCACATAGATTTCACTCTAAATGATGTTTTCTCTGAAGCCCTATCATACTTGATTTGGTCATCTATTTAGTATTTCCTCCTGTTCTTTCTTATGATAAAATTATCATGTTTCACATTATTTAACAACTCATGGATTTGTTTTTATTTCTTTACTCGGATGTGAGACTTGGGGCAGGATTTTGATTTCATTTATCTTTGTTCCCAGAGTCTTACAAACAACGTTCAATGAACATTTGTTGCTTGATTGGAACCAAACCAAATAAATTAATGAAATCTCTGTCTTCTGGGTACTTAGCATGTATTAGATTTAATCATATAAATTTGCTGGTATTCAATTACTTTTGACCTGCAAAATGGCCCTTACATATGGTTCAACCTCATAAGGGTCTATAACACAATTGTATGCTGAACTGAACACTGGTCAGCGGGTGGCTGGGTTAACTTGGCCTCCAAGGCTTCCTCTTTCCTGCCTGCTCAGTGCACTTTCATAGTCAGCCATCAATTCCTTGAAGAAAGTCCAAGTGTATATAAGTTCCCTTCCAAGCCTTGCTATGAATTTTCACTTTAAGAGAAAAAAGCAACAAACCTGATAATCAGAATTGAACTTGAGAATTAAAAACAAAGCACAACACCACTGAAATAGAAACACAGGTCTTATTAGAGTCTCTGACCAAGTGTCTCCATCAGTGCCCTTATCTCTTAAGCTTTGGTCAAAGATAAGTGAAGGACCCTGGCTTCTGCTGGTATCTCATTCTCAACTATAGGGATAAAAGAATTTTTATCTTAGTTTCAACTCACAGCAATCTCATTAGTAAGTGGGAACCTAATACTCCAAGTAAAACATCAGGAGACCTGAGGCTTGGTCACCTCCACCTGAGGCAGGAGTGAGGCTTGGCAAACGGTGCTCAAGAGTCGGTCAGGTCCAGCTCTTGCCATTTACCCTCTTAGCTTCAGTTTTTCTAGCTGCAAAATGGGAGACTGATGTTGGCACACAGCAGGCCCTCAATGAATAAATGCCCGTCACTACTTTCAGCGTGAATGTATACTGCTAGTGTTGGCCAATCAGATTCCATTCTTCAAGACTCCTGAGAATTTGGCACTGAGAAGTACAGAGAGAGCCTGAGGGCTATTCAAACGATGGAAATAATACTTACCAAGAGATCCTTATAGTGTTTTTGTTTTTAGTTCATATTTGCTTTTCAAATTGACAAAATTTTATAAATATATGAAAAATACATGTGTATAAAATTGATATGGGGGCTGGGGTTGTGGCTCAGTGGTAGAGTGCTTGCCTAGCATGTGTAAGGCACTGGGTTTGATTMTCAGCACCACATATAAATAAGTAAATAAAATACAGGATCCATCAACTAAAAAAAAGTTTAAAAAACTGATAGATATATCCTATCTCTTCAATTTTCTACCTAAGAATCCGTTTTCCAAATACCTRGAACATTAGGAAGGGTCAGTGTAGCAACATTGTGAAGCCTGTAAATGATAACTCACAAGATGGTGGTGAAATGGAAGGAGACAACTTTGGCCAACCCACAATATCTGTGGCATGCCTGCTTGAAGTTTGGCAGTGGGCAGGAATCGGGTAACATCTCTGCATGGTACCCTGCAGTTCATGACATATGTACACATACTTGAATCTTTTTTTTTTAAATTTTTTTTTGTTGTCCATGGACCTTTATTTATATGTGGTGCTGAGAATTGAACCCAGTGCCTCACACATCCTAGGCAAGTGCTCTACCACTGAGCCACAACCCCAGCCCCATACTCAAGTCTTAATGTCAACTCCATGCATTCATTCAGCAACAGCACTTCAGTGTTAGTAATTAGTGTAAATGGGAAGCATATAGTATTCAAGGCCCCATGATTTACATGTTTCATCTCAAATCTTGCAACCACCTCTGAAGTGAGAACAATGAAGGCATAGAGGTTTTGTGTCCTGTCCAGGGACACTCAGCTAGATTGAGGTAGAGCTGGGTTTTGAACTCAGGTCTGTCTGACTTCAGTCTTTATTCTTAATCATGATGCCATTGGGCCCATACCAGGTATAAGACCATGCTGAGGGATCATTTACCAGTTTAAGGTGTTGCCTGCACAATACAATACATCAAGAATGTACAAATAAAAGATTCTCGGGGTGAATGCATGCCAGGCTATATATAAAATACCAGGCTCTTAGGTAACAAAACCAGACACATCAAGTCCTACCCTTAGGGAGYTCACAAACATTAGAAATCACCCAAATTTAGCTACAGTTGGAAATAAGTGAAATTTGTGTTTCCAGAGGAGAATAAAGGTGCTGGGGAGCCGTCTAGTGGGGGTAAATAGAACATTTGTGTGTGTTCCATGAAATTTACTTCTCATGCCCACTCCAGGGTCTGAGATTCTGGAAATTTGTTGAACATGTGGTGCAACGACATCTCGTGGCTCAGTGATAGAAGCTGAGACAAATCACTGGGCACTGCTGAAGAGCCCCGGCATTAGAGATCCTGCTGCCCAATGGCATTTCCAACTGGCTTCCAGAAGATGAAGACATGTAAGAAGAAAGGAATTGTGGGGGAGACAGGACAAACTTTTGCTTTCTTTGTGAGGAAATGGTCTTGATGAGAAGCTGATAGCTCAGACCTGGTCAATGCCAATATGTCAGGTTGTCCAACAGGGGGGACAGATCTGAGATGTTAATRACAGTAACAAGGACTGCTGCTACCATTTCTTGCCAATAAGTTTTTGCCTCTGCCCACCTGCCTATCACATTGAGTCCACAACTATGCCTTGATTGATATGCCTTTCTACTCAAATAGTCAAACTGGAATCCCTTGGGTCCTACATGCACTTTGGGCATCCCCACTTTTATGCCACTACTTGGCTGCACCTTTGCCCATCCTGGGATACTCAAAAGAACATCAGACTGGGTCAGGGATGCTGATTCAGGATAGGCACAAATCAGCTGGCTATTAATACCTACATTTGTTGTGGCCAATGGTATCAGTTCATTCAACACTGGTAGGTATTATTTCTCTCTCTCTCTCTCTTTTTTTAAATTGGTCTAATCAGCCAACTCAGCTGGTCCGGAACAGAGCCAGGATTTGAACTCCTTCTGCTTCTGTTACAGCTAAAGCTTCGTCCCAGGGTTTCATAAACTGACTTCCAGACCACTCACGTATCATCGAATCAAGCATTATTGAAGCACACTAGAGGTGACTGACCAGAACATAAAGCTGTTCCCCTGATCAGCCCCAAACAATTGCAAGGGCACTCCTTATAAGCCTGAAAACTGCAAAAGGGATGTTCCGGGTCTAGCCAATGCAAGCAAGCCAGGTTACAGGTTGGTTCAACACTGGTAGGTATTATTTCTCTCTTTTTACAGAAGCAGGAGAGTGCAGTCAAGCGGCGGGAAGCCTAACCAATCACAGTTAGCCCAGTCACCCAGTTACAGAAACAGAGCCCTGTTACCCTAGTTACAGAAATAATGTCCCAATAGGTAGTTGTATGTTCTTAAAGGTTTCTATAGACAAAGGAAAAGAACATCTTG